TTCAAAAAGTATGATTCAAAAGTAACTATATCATGGCTTCTACCATCTTACTGCGGCATATAAGATACTTTCGTTAGAGGCGTGAATCTTAGATTGAAGCGAAGTTTTTGAGTCTGCCAAGGAATTATTTCTTGTACTTTTTCTTATCTGGTAAGGTCCTTTTTTATATAGGGAAATGCCTACGCATACCCGCCCGCGGTGGCATGGACTGTTTATGTTGGGCTCCTTTATCTCCTGGCGCCCAGCGTAACGCCTAACCTCCCGAATCAAATACGCTCAGGCCTTGGGCCTAGGAAGAAATGAGCACTCGGAAGCACCCGCTTTTCTGACCCCAGCGACGGATCTGGTCTGTGTCGTCAACCAAGTTTCGGTCGCATTGCCATACCAACACTCTTCTTCCACGCGACTCCACCACGGCTGCAGCGGTAGGGGAGATAACACCCCTTTGGCCGCAACCCACTAACACATATCCGAAGTGTGCTCTCCAAGTCCAATTGGAGTGGGCACCTCCGGCCAGCCATGTGGTTTCCTCTTAGTTCCTTATGGGAGACCATACAACGGCAACTACGTCCCCCGCCACGATAAGGCAGGAACCATTTCGGAGGATCAAACAGGGTAAAGAAATATTTGCTGGCCTTGTTCGCTAACTTTTTGTCATTAAAATGATAGTCGTAGCTCTTATAGAAAGGATATAAACACGCAACAACCAAATAACACATACAGTGTTATTTTGCAAAAACTGGCCAAATTTGCAGAGATGGTTCAAAATAAGTAATATAGGCAAATGGTGAAGAAAACTAATAAAAAAAAATCTCAAACATTCTGTCCTTTTTATCTTCTAAATTCAAAATGCGTCGTAATTTAAATGATTTAAATGATGAACGATGATGACGCACACATTCGTAAGGCTCCATCTTTAGGCAAAAAAATTGTTACCCACAAACCGTATTCAATTTTGGATAATTTAAAAAAAAATAGAAGCCTTACTCGTATTTTCAAAAACTGATATACTTATATATTTATAGAATAAAGGTGACAAACGAGCACACAGTCCACCTAATATACATCTAGACCGGGCCACAGACATCATCTAACCTCGATTAAGAATCGAAATGCAGATGCGTTGTCACTCCTGAGAACTAAGATGGAATGCCTCGATTCCAGTAAAACGGGTCTCCGTTTCTCTGCACTCACCATACGAAACACAGCAGGATTAAGCTGCTATTTCACGTTAATATTCTGTGAGAGCGTAGTCCCTCCCCGACCGAGCTGACCCATTCGCGCCACAACCATATTATAACTGCAGCGTGACTCTACCGCGTATGAAATATATATTTTAAAAATTTGGCTACTCAATACAATACCATTAGTTCGATGTCAACAAAGTTAGTGAATAATACTACTAACTCGCCTTGCAGTTAGTTCTTTTGTATCAACGAATACACTTGCAAACTATAATATATACTGTGCAGTACAGCAGGCTTACTACAGTATTCGGGTCAAGTCGGTACAGGAGGGTACATACATATTTTAGTGCTCGTACTACTGAGAGAAACAACTGAATGTTTGATATGCTTGCCATTACACAAAATGTCTGAGATTTTCGCAGCTTATTCACAGAGCTTTAAGCCGAACATGCCGTAGCTTATCACTCTCCCGGAAATACCTCGAAGGGTGTTTAATACGTCCAATAATCCGATTATACTTTATATCTACGTTTGCGGGCTTTTTACATATTTAATATTTGTACCATGTGGTAAGTTTAGATGGAGGAGGTAGACAAGTATTAAAGTATTGTCGTAGATACTTGTAAGCCCGAGGACTTATAAATCGCAAGCAAAGAGTGAATTTGCGTTAAGATGGTGAATATTTTCTACCACTGGAGGCGGGTTCAGCACTTTTTTCAAGAAGTCTTTATTGGTATGGGCAGCATTCCAATAAATCCCCATCTTCTTCACTTATCAAATACTTCGTTTTAAGTTCTGCAATAATATTTTCTACTTTAGCCACTTTTTTCGATAAACACCTACTTTTTTCTCGAAAACTAATTTTTTCAGTCGTTCGGATGATGGATTCAAGTGTTTCCATTTATTTTGCAAAGTTCGAGAAGTGTACCAGGACAGAACACCAGATGGTGTCTTGTCCTAAAACCCAAAAAAAAAAAACGTTTAATAACCATGGCTTTGTTACTGCAGACAGAATATTTTCTGATTTTTTTTCTTTATTGATCATAGAACCAACAGCACGTTATAAATATTAACAGAACTTCTCAGATAATCCATAATGCCAATAACAGGTTCTTACTTTATATAAATATACATACTATCGCTTGTTATAGTTTACAATTAATAATATTACAATCAACAAAATTACAAATTAATAATATTAATTATAAAGTACTTGGATAAATAAAAGTTGTTTCAAAAATAAGTAATAAGTCATAACTGAGTATGTCTAGTGCGTTTAGTAAAAGTAAAAAAGGAAAGTTACAGCCTATATACGTCCCACTGCTGGGCTCAGGCCTCCCCTCATTTTTGAGAGGGTTTAGGGCAAGGAAGTGTCCGCCGCGCTGCCCAAATGCGTGTTGACGAACTTCACATGTCTTCGAAATATTTTTTTTTCTTATTCCTCAGATATGCAGGTTTCCTCACGATGTTTTCCTTCACCGCCGAGCACGTGGTAAATCAGCACTTAAAATTGCAATTAACAATTTCATTGGTGCCGGCGGGGATCGAACCCGGGTTACTCGCGTTCTGTTATATTTACAGCGAGCGTTAACCACTGAGCTACCACGGCTCTGTGCGTTTAGTAGGTGCTCGTAATTGTGAAGTACAGGAAATTAATTCGGGGCTATCAATTTTGTTACTGCAGATACCATGAAGAAATAGTATCTGGAGTCGAGTGCGGCGATCTTTCAACTGCATAAATTTATGAAAATTACATGGTTCTGTATATTTTTTTGTTTTATTTTAACCTCGAAAATTCAAGACGTTAATAAATTTTCTCTGTATTCGTTCAATTTCTTGTATGTTGTGTAATTTGTGTTAAAAAAATTGTAATACTGACTATTGACGGTTGTTTAGAAATTGGAGGGTTTACTATTTAAACTGGCTTTTTACCACTAGTCGACAGCAGTAGGTCAACAGCAGATTCAATCTGAAATAAAGTGATTTGTGTGTTAAATCTGCGACAAAGACCTTTTTTGTTGACCTTGGACCGGTTTAAATCATAGACTTAGAATATACTGATGTATTTTAATACAATATTTAGAATATCTGCTTAGATGTTTTTATGAAAATAAATTTTAATAAAACGCCTTTAGCCATTTAAAGTTTATTCCAAGTGCGTTGCGTTGGTTTTTGTTCTGATAATTCCTTTTGCTAAGAGACTGATATTCTTCATTGTGTTGTGAAAATAAAAGAAATCCTTCTCTGTAATATCTAGCTTAAAACAATACGAATCATAAGACGTCATTTTTAATAAGAACTTTATTTCCCACCCGAATTCTTAAATTAGACTAATTTAACGTTAAATCATGAAACTAATTCGAAATCCTCCCTTTTCAACAATCGAATTCTCGTCTTGTGGTGGCGGGAAGGTCTAGTAGTGGCTTACCTTGGTTATTCAGTGAACGTAGTAGAACTAACAGGGTGGAGCTGGACAGCCAGACCGTCCACTGCCAGTCGGAATGAGATCGCGGGGAAAGAAGGATGTTGGTGTGGCGATATGGTACTCGCCTTATCCCCGCGAATTTAATGAATTGAAATTCTTTGTTTACGTTGTTTACTATCTCTGTAAGAGGTATGTAGCAAAAAAAGATTATCGGCTCAATGGTTTCTCTCCAGCTGTAACACATTATGCAGACCGGGTAACAAGGCACGTAGAATCATTTTGTCATCAAAAATACAATAAAATTAATTATTGACTATGATCTAGTATTTGAAAAAAATGGCTTAATTTAGTTTGCTCACACCCCAACGAATTATTAATTTAATATTATGGTATTTATTTAGATATGATTATGATAATGAAGTAGGTTAAGGTTCTCTGATCACTGTTGCAATTTAGTTGACATTCCATTTCTGAGGGCAGACAGAATCTGACTTAGCGTATAGAAAAGCTGAATCTGTAGTTGGCTTTCTAGTTAAGCCCATGGCACATATTCGAAGCGGTTTTTAAACAACGAAAAAAATTAACGCCGAAAAATCTTTTTGTATTTTTGTAAATATACGCTTATTACCCATATTTAGGCAGTGAGAATATGATACCCTGTCCAAGTTCTTAATTTTTTAAATTGTCTTCGCCAAATAGGCTATTGATATACCAAAGACTATCGCAGTTTTATTTATTGATTGTTTGTATTGTATTTCCTCTCTTTCTGCGTCTGTAATTACAGAACTTGACGGCCAATTGCACTTTTTTGGTTTCGATGTAGCTTCTTTAGACATATCACTTCTATTCTGAAATAGAAAATACTGTAAAATATATGCAGAACTATTCAAAAACGCTATTTGTATTGAAAGAGTTAAGTGTTCGTGCCATGAAAGAGCAAGCTTTTCCGATACGCCGTGGCCTGGCTCTTTCAAAACATTTTCTATCTTGATACTTAATTATATACGTTATATTATATATCCACAATAATAAAGTAAAATCATTTTAATCCTCGTAAAAGATAACAGGAGAAGCATAAAAGAAGACTTACTTTATAGCAATGAAACTTTTAATTAAGTCCAGTAACTCCATTGATACGTTACTAGAACTATCAGTTGTCGGTGAGATACTAGCTGTATCAATGTTTCCATTTAAGGAATAAAACTTGCTTTTGGTACGTTTGTTTAGAAATAGGAGAAAATACTGACTCTTTCCTACACACCTTCCTGAATCAAGTCATAAGTTTGACTATACTTATGACAATAAAAATAGTCAAGTCGAACATAATTGCAATGACTGCAGTCTCCTTCTATTGGTTTTTTTTTAAACTATATTATACTTTTAACCAGCATGGATGACATCGAGTTGAAGAACATCCAACTGCAGTTCCCGAGCTCTCGGCGCTTCAGCGGCGACGGCGGCTGCGTGGAAGTGCGCGTGCGCACTGATCGCGGTGACATCATGGTTGCCGTCCAAGGTGATCGCTCTAAGCCCGCGATTTTTACTTACCATGACCTCGGCTTAAACTGTGAGTATCGAATTTATAAATATTTTAAAATCCTTTAAATTACTTCGGCTAGACCTATTATTTTTTCTGTGGCTAGACATAGTTTATTCCCTAGTAGTCTTATTATATCCTTCAATCAGGCTAGTGCGTTTGTGAAGGGACTTTTATTGAAATGCTGTGTTTAGCTTTAACTCGCATTACCCTAGTCGATTTTTGGGGTCGCCACGGTATACTGGCAGTACGAACAGATATCTTTACATATCTTCTTGGTTATATGGTGTTGGTAAATATATATATATATATATATATATATATATATATATATATATATATATATATTACCAACACCGTTGTAAAGTAAAGTTAAAGCCTGTCATTTTTGAGGACGTTATAGAGTAATTAGTTCGCCACGCTGCTCTATACGTATTAGCGGACTTCGAAATATTTTATTTCTGAGAAAATGGTGGTTTCCACACGATGTTTTCCTTCGACTTCTACTTGTAGCGTGTGGTAAATTAGAACTTAAAATTACAATTAACAACTTTATATAATCGTACTTATAAAGACCAATGCGGCATGATTGGTCATAAATATTTCAACAGTACGACGTGGACGTCATTTTATTCGTATTTTCAGCAAACCCTTTTATTTGATACTCATGTAATAGGAGTGCGTTAAAAGTAACTTGTCCGGCATTTTGGGTTGATCGCCATACCTATAGGATTTAGAATGGTGCTACTTAGCCAACCATGTTGTTGTTGAGGATAACTGCTTTAAAATTCAGTTGTAAGATTTGACCCTAACGAACATACAAACATTGCAAATTAATTTTTTTTTAAATAGAAGCTTTTAAAGTACGTGTTATTTTTATTAAATATTATTTAAAAGGTGTTAAATAGGTTTCATTTTATATCGATGATTGTACACAAGAATACTGTAATCAAACATTTCTCCACCAAAGCTACGCATAACGCCGTAAAAATGTACGTAACTCCGTAAAGAAAACATTTTATTAGTCCATAATAATTTACACATACATACTCACAATATGACGTTGTTTAGTTTACTCGTATACGATTTATGGTATGGTAGTATGTATAAATAAATGTTACAAATTCAATCAGCTGGTAACATGTGTATTTCATTGTTAGCGTTCCAAGGCAAGCCTTCCAATAAATCAAATTCATACTGCAAATACGCATGGGATTTTACGAGATTTTCCATTCATTGCTGGCAACTGCCAGGAAAATATCCCAAGTCGCATTTCTTAGTTCACGTTTAACACAATTGGCAAAAATATAATAAATATTAGCGTTTTATTGTAATAGCCGTGAGCCCCAAGCCATTTATCGATTTCTTTCGTAACTGAAATAACATAATATCACATCCCTCTTTAAGGGGGCCTATTGGGAAATTAACTAGAATGTTTTTACTGTCAATTTTCGACCAAAAAAGTAAATATACTAAAGAAAATGTAATTCAATCTGTACGGATATAATTTTATCTCACTCCGCAGCGTTGCATACTGTTGCAGCTTTTGTGTTGAATTCTGTTCAGAAGCCATTGTTGATACAGACTTCAGTTGAAATTATTTAATAGTCTTAATTTACCAGTTATTCACATCTGCTAGAAGTAAGAGCATACATTTAAAATTAATTATATTAAGCTATCAGAGACTTAGGGAAATGTTAGGCAGATTGTTGGCTCTTGGCGAAGGGCGGCATAACCATCAATTAAAAGCGGAGCGGCGCATCAAAGTTGCGCTGGTTCTGCTACTACTATTGCTACTTTGCCTATGAATACTCTGTATGTTCGAAGAGGCTCATGTGTGCAGTAGACTTTTAAAGGCTGATAAAGAAGATAATCCTTGAGTTTCTGCAATCACTGGATGTGAGTTCAATGCTTCAGTACATGTACATTTTTTGACGTTCGCCTACTACATTTACGCAAACCTTTGTCGGCCGTTTTCACTCACCTTGTTACCGCTTTAATTACATGCTCATTTGCATTTTATTTAATTTATATATAAATAATAATTTATTTAATTTTTACTAAAATAATCAGAAGATTTTGTGATATCTTGCAAATATAATAAACTTTATCTCACTTCACAAAAGCCTACTCTTCCACGCGATTTGCAAACATTAAAGTAAATGTAAGTCGCATTCAGGCACAAGAGGTTCGAATGAACCTGTCACTTGCAGTAATAAGCGAAAACGTATCTTAAGTATTGTAGTAAGGAACTAATTAAAATTTGGAAAGACTCCTCCGGGTGGCAGGTCTTATCAAACACTCCATAAAATATGGAGGATTTCAAACTGACTATACAACCTTCAGAAATACAGAATATTTTTAGCACCAACAACACAAATAAACGAAACACCATAATAGTCCAGTTCAGTTTTACTACAGTCAACCAAATCTAAGAAATACATTTTGACAGCTGTCAGACTTATTGCACCAATCATGCCAACCAAAAAATGGGAACATACAATATTCGATTCTTAAAAAAATCGATATCACTTATTTAGAGTTGTAATCATTTACAGTTTGGTTTGAATAATACCAGAAAAATAAAAACACACAGTACAGTAAGTAGTAGTAGTACAGTAAATTAAAAACGGATAAATTAAAACACAAGATTTACCAGTTTCTTCGTATTTGTTGTTAGTGCTTATTTCTAGAGGCACAGTTATAAAAATTTAGGATTAAAAATAAATTTATTCAATCAAAGTGATTACACACAACAAGTGACAGTACAATTAGTAGGGATGTCAAAATTAACGTCTCTTTCAAAGTAATCCATAATATTTTTTTTGATTTTTCTACCACTTTTACCTTTCCTTTGTGACATGAGCTCATGTCACGACGAATATATATTTTTTGTAGCATTGGGTGACAAACGAGCACACAGTCCACCTGATGGTAAGTGGATGCTATGGCCCATAGACATCTAAATTTATCCTCAATTAAGAATCAAAATGCAAATGCGTTGTCACCCCTGAGGATTAAGATGGAACGCCTCGATTCCAGTAAAAAGGGTCTCCGGTTCTCTGCACTCACCATACAAAACACAGCATTACGCTGCTATTTTACGCTGGTATTCTGTGAGAGCGTGGACCTGCCCTGGTTGAGTCGACCCATTCGTGCTACGACTATAAATTATATAATTATACTATAAATTAGATGTAGCGTGGCTCTACCACGTACAAAAAGTTATTATAGAATAAACAGTCCAAAAAGTTAAAGCCGAGTCACAAAATAAGAAGACAAATACAAAATCATAAAATTACGCACAGTAAGCTCCCGAAAAAAGAGATAGTTTTTTATTCAATATAGATTATCAATAATACTTATTGAAAGTCACTTTTTTCATTTACCACTGTTGATGTCGTCTTCATGCACCTAATGGTACATGGAGGTATCGGGCCTCGGGGTAAACCCCATTACCCGGATATCCTCATACCCCATAACTATGGGGCAGTCGTTTTGGCCTATTCATGGCATAGATAGTGCTACGGTTATAACGTAGCCGGATAAGAATTTTTTTCCCGTAGTTCACCGACTACGGGTAAAGAAGGTTATCTATGGAGGTAATCTAATTAAGTCTAAGTTGGCCTTTCAGCGGCATTGTGGGTTGTTACTCGACTCTCTAATCGATATAGAGAGGAGTTCTCTTGGAAGAGATCGCCCGTCCGGGGGCCGAGTGTGCAACGGTGCAAAACCGTTGAGATGGTCATGTGGCCCGTTATCGGCACAGTCAAACATGCCGCGCGCTAGCCGGGCCACGAAGTCGGTGATGGTCTCGACTTTCAGATCGGCCGCTATGACGTCATTCCGGACGTAACGACCTGCTCCGACAATCGTCCTTAATGACAGGTTCTGCTGAGCCTGTAGTCGCCGCCTCAGAGGGTCGCTCAGAAGCGCGTACCAGGCCGGAGCAGCGTAGGTGGTAATGGTCCGGATATACATCTTGTATATCCGGAGCTTGGCTTTATTGGCAGCTTGGATGCCAGGACCGGACGAAGCATCGCCCGCGCACATCTGGCTTTGCGGACGACGAAGTCGACGTGCGCAGTCATGCGCAGCGCCCGGTCGATCCGGCACCCGAGGTATGTCACGGCCTTCTCGTACGCGATCTTCTGGCCGTCGAGAGTTAGCGGAGGTGGTAGATTTCTGAGACGGCGAGTGAGCAGAGCGGTCGTCTTACCAACGTTGACGACCATCCTCCACTCGTTCAGCCATGGTGGCAACAGGTCCAGCAGACGCTGCATTTTGGCAGTGGCTATATGGGCTCTTCTGGACGAAGTGAAATAGGCGCTATCGTCCGCATATAGCGCCAGCTCAACATCGTCCTCCCATTCTTGCAGCCTGCCTGCCAATGTTGGTATGTCGTTCGTGTAAGCCGCGTACAGGACTGGAGACAGACAACTGCCCTGTGGGACGCCGGCACTGATGGTTCTTGTTGCGGACTCGGCATCCTCTACGCAGACGTAGAACTTCCTGTCTTCCAGGAAAGACGCCATTAACCGCACCATAGCAGGGGGGACACTGCTCTGCTCGTGTAGTTTGTATAGTAATCCTGAGTGCCACACCCGGTCGAACGCCTTCTCGATATCGAGAAAGACGCCCAACGATATGCGGCCACGGCAGCCCCGCCAATATCATCTCACCTTTAAACAGGTTAGCTATGTGCGGTAATAGCGTAATCGGCCTGTAGCTGGCAGCTCTACGCCTGTCCTTCCCGGGTTTCGGCAAGACGATAATTTTGCCTTTTTTCCATTCCTCCGGGAAGTGGGATGTCCGCAGTATCCCATTGTAGAGTCGACCAATCTCTACTAGGACTTTATAGGGCAGTTGTCGGAGTGCAGCGTTGGTAATCCCGTCGTGTCCGGGCGCTTTCCTCGGTTGCAGGCAGGTTACTATCCTCCGCAGTTCGGCGGGGGGAAATGAACCACTCTCCTGCAAGAGGCGGCGCAGGTGACGACAGGAACTCCTGTACGCGACTCTCCTTTATGGCA